ACGACAGGTCGGGTCGTTACATATATATATATAGTGGGGTCTTGTGAAAACTGAAGAGATACATTGAGGTGGTACCGTATTGGTAACTAAAGGTCAATAAGGGCTATGTAGTTTAAAAAGAAGCAAAGTGTAGGTAGCGTTCAAAAATGGTACAAACACTATAATATTTCCAAATATTCATCCAACATATCCCGAAGCTTATATTACAACCCTTAAAAGTCCTTTGTGATCTGTAACCAATTATTCCTAAGATAGCAATGAGTTAAAATAAGGGCAAGCATATGGACTAATACTTGTAGCACTTAGCCTTCTCTCTGAGTGCAAGAGTGTTTGATTGTATCCTTTATACATATTTCTTGAGTTGGGGATTTTCTTTGATGTGAGCACGCATGAATTGTAAGATTTAGAAGAAGTTAGGTCTCTTAAAGTAGGATACAAGTGCATATCTAGTTATGGGTATCACTATATCATTGATCTTGAGGCTCGAAGTTTACAAATTCATAAATATTGAACTGTTAAATGATCTTTATCTTCAAAGAATGGTGAAGAAGAAGTAGTTACATGCTTGTTAGCTAAAAGTCAGCACCATCCATAGTCACTGCTGCTTTGTGATCAGTCAGAAGTAGATTAGTATTTAGTAGGTTGACTTTGATTTAGTTCCTTGAGGGCCAGCAAGAGTCTAAGTTGGGGGTGTTGATGTGTCGTAGAATTGCGGCACTTTTGATACTAATTACATAGATTTTAGCTCGTCTTTAAAAATATTTTAAGCTATTTCTTATGTAATTTTGGTGTTTTGCAGTAAACCAGACTTGAAGAACCAAGAACACGGAAAGGATGACAAAAACCAATAGAAGGGCAGAAATACGGCAGATTTGCGACCGCAAAAGTGATGTGTGGGTCACAGACCAACCGCAGACTGAAGCAGACCATCCCAGTTCTGAGAGTGAATTTTGCGGTCTATTGTGCGGTCGCATAATGCTTTTGCAGACTGCATAATGAACGCACAAATGCAAAAGAGTTTCTGCGAGAATGACTTTTCGGTACCAAATGCGGTCGCGAAATCAATTTGCGGACCACATAACAGAAGTGTGGTAGAAAACTAGACAACTGGAAAATTAACTCTGCGAAGGAATTGCAAATATGCGGGCCGCGAAAGTGTTCTGCGACCCGTTTCTGCCGTCGCAAACGTGATCTGCAGGGTTATTTTTTCTTTTTTTGACCCTAACTTTTAGCCCATTATAAATAGAATAATTAGGGTTTTTTTGGACATCTTGTCTGAAAAAGGGCTACACTTAGAGCATTGAATACACCATTATTTTAGAAGCTTTTGAAGAGAGAATCTTGTCATCTTTGTAAGCTTTATGACTTTATTTATTGCTTTGTTCTTGGATTCTAGTATGAGTAGCTAGTTTCAAATACTAAGGTTGTGGACCCTAAATGAGTGTAATGTTAATGGGTGTTTACCATTGAATATATATATAATAGTTGGTTGGTTGGTATATATTCATTTCTCATGCTTCATTTATTGTTGATGGTTGGAAACATTGACTAACGCCATTTTACTCCATCTTTGCTTGGAAAAGTGGGTTAGGGTTTGATAGAATTGAATAGCAAAAACTCAAGGCTTTAAACCTTATTTAATAGAATCACTTAGAAATAAGTGGGTTCTATTTGGCATAAATTGGTTGTTCTTACTTATAACTTTTTTATATTTAGAAAAAATCATAAAGAGAAAATACTATCTAATTATTGGAAAATATTGGGTAGTAATTTAAGAACCATTTCCATATCAAATGACCTTCCATTAGAAATATATCATATTAACACAGATAGAATTGTTGACATACAATTTTGTCCATTCTTTCTTCAAATTAATTTCCTTGAGCTTCTCAATTATTATTACATAAAATACTGTATTTTTTGACATTTACTACTACTACTGCTACTACTACTGCTACTGCTGCTCCGCACCCTAAAAATGTCGCTCTACTTCCCTTTACTATTGTTATTGTCTCAAAAATTTTAAATCTTTTCCTCTGTCTCGGTGAACTTTGACCGTACAGATCATTCCGATCGAGGTTCAAATTTATTTTATAACGAGAGAGTAGATTCGAGACCAACGCCGACCCCGTTCACTTCCCCACAAATGGTGAGTCCTTCCTACACTCTAATTTATTTATGTTCCTTTTGTTGTTAATATGAGTTACTCTTCTGGTTAAAAATTATGATTTAGTGTATATTTGTTTTACCAAGAAGTCATGTTTAGATTATTTTTGGTTATGTCAAAAATCTGTTACGGAATTTGACAGTATGTTGTACACTAGAGATTGTCTTTAGCCTTCCTTAAAAAATCAGAATCGTGATTTACTACTTGTTAAAGGGATATCATGATTTTAGGCTCTCTGTAGTAGAAATGTTTAAGAGTGTCTTTTGGCTGAGTTAAAGTATTAATTATAGAAATTTCCATTCTGTTGGTTTTGTGCTTACAAAAAATGAAAACTGCGCATATCTTTTGCCAAAAACTATAATATGTCTATTTTTTTATTTTGGATAATAAAAAGGGATATTGTCTTAGCCAAGGTTTAGATATCATGCGTTCAGGTGTTACTATTCAACTCATTCTTAAAATTGCAATAGTGTTCTAAAAAATTGCTATTTCCTTTGGCATCTTTTAACATTATTTATAGAGGTAAAAGATAGTTTATTAACTACTGTAAGCCAAAAGCATCATTTCTGGTTTAAGTTATTCAACTTCTACATCTGGATTATTAAAACCATGACTTTATACTAGTAGATGACATTCCCATAGGTTCTAATGTCCTGTTCGAAACAGACTTTAGTAAGTTGGATATACATGTTATCTTTTATGCCTTTGTGTTCTTCTTTGCAGATCATGTTAATGAGTAACTGCACCTTTATTAAGTTAAGTGATTATTGATGAAACTCAAAGATCAGATCAACTGGAGCTAAGAAGAAGATGAACAAGAAGGCTCTAGAATGAAGAACTTGTTGGAGAGCATGTGAGCTGAAAATGATTATATATTCCACTATGAAAAACTGAATACAAAACACACAAGTCCTACTTATATACATTGTATATGACAGCTGTACTAATCATTCATCACTAACTACTCTAACCATTAATCATATAATTAGTTATAACTAACCTTCAGCTAACTACACTAACCCACGTGACTGTCATGTGTCACTCTTCTCCTCAATACTCTCCCTCAAGATAAGCGGTGCAAATAAGCTGAGCACTCCTAGCTTGCTCATCAGGTACTCATGTTGTGATCTTCCAAATGCCTTTGTGAACAAATCTGATTCTTGGTCTTTAGACATCACATACTTGGTTTTGATAATCCCTTGTTGAATCCTCTCTCTGATGAAGTGTAAGTCTATCTCTATGTGCTTTGTATGCTCGTGAAATATGGGGTTTGAAGCAATTTTAATTGTTGCTTTGCTGTCACACTATAACTCCAGTGGCAGCTCAACTTTAGCACCCAACTCTTTGCAAAGTCCTATCAACCATGATATTTCTGCAACTCCTGCTGCCATGCTCCTGTACTCTGCCTCTGCAGAGCTTCTTGAGATTGTGCCATGTTTCTTGGACTTCCATGACACTAAAGAATTTCCCAATTTCATCACATATCCTGTTACTAATCTTCTGGAAACAGGACATAATGCCCAATCAGCATCACAGAATGATGTCAACTTAGAGGACTATTTGGAACTCATCAGCAACCCCAAGTCTGGTGCTTCTTTGATATATCTCACAACCCTTATAGCAGCTTCCATATGAGACTTCTTAGGACAATGCATGAACTGGCTTAATACATGGACTGCATAGCATATATCTGGCCTAGTCATAGTAAGATCAAACAACTTTCCCACTAATCTCTGATATTGCCCTGAGTCTACCAGCTTTTCATCTTCTTTCAAGTTCAAGTGTTGATCATATTCTACAGTAGTAAATCTTTGGTTGCATTCAATTGGTGTAGTCACAGGTTTTGAACCTGCCAATCCAAGGTCAGTGATTAACTCTATTGCAAATTTTCTTTAGTTCATCAATATTCCTTCCTTGGACCTTGCTAACTCGATCTCAAGGAAGAACTTCAACTCTCCTAGGTCCTTGATCCTGAAATTACCCTGTAGCATGGTCTTTGCCTCAGAAATCAATGCTTGATCATTCCCAGTTATGAGGAGATCATCTACATATACCAAGATTATGACTAATCTTGTTCCTTGATTCTTTGTGAACAAGGAATAGTCAAAGTGACTCTGTACAAAACCAAAATTTAGCAATGCCTCGGTTAATTTGAGGTTTCATTGCCTTGAAGCCTGTTTTAACCCATATAGGGATTTGTGCAGCCTACACACCTTCTCCTCCTGGCTGAGAAATCCCTGGGGTGGACACTTATATACTTCTTCAGTGAGGTCTCCTTGGAGAAATGCATTATAAACGTCCATTTGATGCAAATTCCAATTGTTGGTTGTAGCTAAAGCTATAACTACCCTGACTGTCACCATCTTGACTACAGGGGAGAAAGTTTCTTAATAGTCTAGGCCTTTTATTTGATTGTAACCCTTAGCTACTAGTCGTAGCTTGTACCTTTCAACCTCTCCATTGGCCTTATACTTTATCTTGAACACCCACTTACACCCAATAGGAGTCTTCCCTGCTGGCAAATCTACCATAGTCCAGGTCATGTTGTCCTTGAGTGCATTCAACTCTTGATGCATAGAATCAACCCATTTGGGTCTGATGCAGCCTCCTCATAAGTCAAAGGCTCTCTAATGCTAGTAATTTTGGACAAATATGACTGATGCTTGACTGAGAAACCTGCATGAGTCAAATAGTTATGCTTTGGGTATTTGCAAAGCTGCTGCCCTTCTGACCTTGTCAAGGAACCATTGCAGACACAATCTTATAGCCACACGGGCTCCTTAATAGTCCTAGCTGACTTCCTTAATGAGGGACCCACAAGAACAGGTGTATCTTATTCTGAAAGAGGTGACTGCTGAGCTGGAGTGTCTTCTGAGAATAAAGGAAGTGGTGATGAAGGTTGTGTATCAGCAGTGTGGTTGTCTGCAATAGGTGGCATTGCTGAAAGGGATGCATCATCATCATATGTGTTGATCTGCACAGGAATAACATCAGTAGTGACTGGATAGTGCAGTACACCATTAGGGAAAAGCTACAATTTTCCTTCCTTAAGTAGTTGAAATGGAAAGATATGCTCCATAACTTGACATCCCTACTTACAAAGAAAGAGTTAGTTAAAATGTTATACAGTGTGTATCCCTTCTGGGATAATGAATATCCCATCAACATAGCTCCAACTGATCTAGCTGCAAACTTATCCTTTTCTCCCACAACCTTAGCAAAGCATAGACACCCTATGGTTCTCAGGTGTTTTAAAGATGGCACTCTTCCATACAATATCTCAAAAGATGATTTTCCTGACAACACTGATAGAGGCAACCTGTTTATGACATAAATGGTTGCCTGCACACATTCCCCCCAAAATTTTAGAGGCAAATAGCCTTGCAATCTAATGGCCCTGGCCACTTCCAGTATGTTTCTTTGTTTCCTCTCCACTACCCCATTTTGTTGTGGGGTGTGAACATGTGAACTCTGGTGAATCATTCCATAAGATTGAAACAAACTGTGTCATTCAGAATTGAAAAACTCATATCTATTGTCACTTCATATTACTTTCACAGTCACAGCAAATTGAGTCTTTATTAAGGCTAAAAATTGTCTCAAACATACAACCATATCACTCTTGAGCCTTAGTAAGTAAATCCATGTCATTCTGCTGCAATCATCTACTATAGTAAGGAAAAATCTATGTCCACTATGAGTTTGTACTCTATATGGACCCTAGACACTACATGAATCAATTGAAATGGTTTATCTTTCTACTTGTACTCTTAGGGAATGGCAATCGGCCTTGTCTAGCCAAAGGACAGATTGTGCATTCCTTTATTTCATCACTACTAGTTTTGAACTTCATGTTTGGAATTTGTCTCACTACTCTATCTGGAGCATGTCCAAGTCTTCCATGCCACACCTTTAAGTCCTCCCCCTGCATAGTCGATTTCTGAAGATGTACATTTGCAGCCTTGGCTTTAAGTTTCTGATGCTGCAAGTTGTACAAACCTTCTAGTTCCTTACCAATCTCATTCACCTTCTCACTGTGAAGGTCCTGCATTATCCAGAAGTTAGGATAAAAGGATATAAAACATCTTAAATCCCTTGTGAGCTTGGACACAGACAAGAGATTATATTTAAAATTTGAAACATACAAAACATTCTTAACAGTACTATTTTCACCAGTTCTACTCTCTCCGGTACATTCAACATCAAGTGAAGTTCCATCAGGTAAATATACCTTTGGTGCATTGCCTAGGACATCTGTGTTTATCCTGTCAAGTAGCTCTCTGGTGTGAACCATGTAGTTGGTTGCACCAGAGTCTACTATCCAATTCTCATCTTTAACATTTTCATTTGTAACAAAGATCTTAGATGTACCTGCAAAGCTTGCATTTTCACCTGTCCCTATACTGATCAGCTTCAATATTTGGTCATATTGCTCTTGAGTAAACATGATTGGTCTTCCTCCTTATGCTACATTTGCAGTAGATGTATTGATCACTTGTTGTGCCTCCTGTGTAGTTGTATTGGTCATCTGCTTTGTCATTGATTGTTATTCCTCTTATATGGCTGCATTGGCCATAGGTCTTTGAATAAAACCTATTGTCTTCTTCCTCATTTTGAAATCAGTTAGATAACCATGCAGCTTGAAGCAAGTGTCTCTTGTGTGTCCTTTATAGTTGCAGTAATCACAGAATAGATTTCCTCTTCTAGGCTTATAATTGTTCCCTGAATTCATGCCTTTGTTGGTGAATAGTGTTGTTCCATCTCCAATGTCTATAGACTGAGAGAACTTTTCCAAAGCTCTTTAGCTTTCTTCAGAAACTATCATGGAATATGCTTTGTTAAGTGTAGGAACAGGGCTCATCATCAATATCTGACTCCTAGGTTGGCTACATATTTCATTTAGCCCCATAAGGAACTGCAGCAGCCGTAGATACTCAAAATGTTCAAAATAACTCTTAGATTTTGGGCAGTCACACCCACGGCAGCGCATCAAGGCATCATATTCCTCCCAGAGGTCTATCAATTTGGAGAAATATGCAGAAACTGATGAAATTCCCTGCAATAAGGTTGTAATTTCCTTGTGCAGGAAGAAGATATGAGATCCATCAACCTTATCATACTTATCCTTCAGATCAGTCCAGACTTTGTGTGCACTAGATTTGTAGACAATTCCACTAAGTAGTTCTGTGCTCACAGCATTTATAATCCATGACAGGACTATTGCATGACACTTCTCTCAAACCTCATGCAAGGATCGATCAAACTTATCCTTAGTACATCGTCCATCAATAAATCCTAGCTTACTCTTACCAATTAGACCTATTTTCATAGATCTACTCCACAATGCATAGTTTTCAGATCCAATTAGTTGAATAGAGATTAAGGAACTACCTGGAGTATCACATGGTTGTAAATACAATGGATGATGATGATCTGTGTTTGTTGTTGTGCTTGTTCCAGTTGAGGTTTCTTCTCCATTCGCCATTGCCAACAGATTCAGCTGATTTTACTCTCAGATTCAAGGAATTATAGATTCGCAAATCGCAAATCAAAAAATAGAAACTAGGTTAATTGATTGAGGAAAAACTCGAACAATCAGCAACAAAATGATTCTGGAGAAAGCAGAAGATATCCATCACAACGATCGTGTATTTAGCCCCTGGGCTCTGATACCATGATGAAACTCAAAGATCAGATCAACTGGAGCTAAGAAGAAGATGAACAAGAAGGCTCTAGAATGAAGAACTCGTTCGAGAGCATGTGAGTTAAAAATGATTGTATATTCTACTATGAAAAACTGAATACAAGACACACAAGTCCTATTTATATACATTGTATATGACAGTTGTACCAATCATTCACCACTAACTACTCTAACCACCAATCATATAATTAGTTATAACTAACCTTCAACTAACTACACTAACTCACGTGACTGTCATGTGTCACTCTTCTCCTCAATAATCTATACTATATTAAAAGCACGAAGGCCCTTAGTGAAATATCGTTCGCCTTTTTTACCCCTTTAAAATAGAATTCACAGTGGACAAAATAGTCACATAATTATTTCCTAATATTTAACACTTAGAAATCAACTAAAACATTGTTCATTAGAAATTTCCTTATTTGATTTGTCTCGTTAGAAGTCCTAATAATTAGGACACAAAAATCAAATAAGATTAACTTTTTATAAATTTTTTACCTTTTAAATTAATGAGCTTTATTTTACCATAGTTCTGAATTGAGAATATTGCTTCTCTATAAGTATTTGTTCATTTATTTTTATTTGATATTAAATATCTTTCCCAATAACAAAAAAATTATTTAAAAAGTACAAAAGTATAGAAAGCTAAGTTTTTTTTCTTATAAGAACAACGACGAAAACGTTGTGTTATTTTTGTCTTTTAATCAATTTGCCTCTTTATTTCCCTTTCAAACGAAAGTAATTGATATTCTTAAAATTTTAATGGGTAAGTTTTCATTTAACAACAAAATATATCTATTTTATTTGGTTTAAATGATAAAATTTCAGTCTAAACGTTGACAAACTTATCTAAAAAAGAAGAAATATACAGTTAAAATAAATAATCGGTGCATCTAAAAAATATATAAAAAGAAACATTATGTAGTTTGTACTGCATTATTTTGCATAAAACTTTTTCTTTGACAAAAAATAATGGAGCTTTAAGCAAGTATATTTACATATTTTTAATAATGGAGCTTTAAGCAAGTATATTTACATATTTTTAATAATGGAGCTTTAAGCAAGTATATTTACATATTTTTAATAATGGAGCTTTAAGCAAGTATATTTACATATTTTTAATAATGGAGCTTTAAGCAAGTATATTTACATATTTTTAATAATGGAGCTTTAAGCAAGTATATTTACATATTTTTAATAATGGAGCTTTAAGCAAGTATATTTACATATTTTTAATAATGGAGCTTTAAGCAAGTATATTTACATATTTTTTCTCCCCCAAAAAATACACAGTTGAAATAAAATAACTAGTTATTGCATGTAAAGGAAAAATAAAAATAAAGTATACAATTGCAACTTCATTATTTTGGTTGTACATATTTTATTAGGCAAAAAAATAATGGAGCTCCAACCAACTTCTTTGTAATAATTTGACTCAAAAATAAAAAATATACATTTAAAATAAATAGTCATTTGTCTAAGGAAAAATAACAAGAAATACATTGTTGGTACTCCATTATTTTGGATAAAACCTTTTTTGTTTGGCTAAAATGATGGAGTTTCAGTTAAGATTTATTACAAATTTGATCCCAAAAAAGAAATACACAGTAGAATCATAGCCATTGTTTCCAAATAAAAAAAATTTAAAAATATAAAATTAAATGGGCATAAGATATGCATTGTATTAAGGAGAAGCAAAAAGAAATACACAATTCATATGAATAAGTATTGTATATGACTATGTGATAACTGACGAAAGATACTTTATCTGACAACCACTCTCACACGCCTAAATGAGCGTGTCAATGCACTTTGTCATGTCAGCGACCATGGGATATCTATTATCAACTAATAAAGTTCGAATGAGAAACTAAGACTACGAGCAAGTTAGGTGTGTAACTAATAATATGTGCCAAAATTAAAATTTTCTTAACATAAACTCCACGTTTTGCTCATAATTAATATATCCTCTCAGAATCTATTAACATTAAGAAATTCCATGACAATCTTAGACTCTTAGGGGTGGTTTGATGCACGGGATAAGATGGGATAAAGTATGATACTAAATTTATACTATGTTTGGTTGGTAGTATAATGGTTGGTGGTATAAATTTATCTCGGGATAAATTTATACCAACAACTAAACATGGTATAAACTTTGTCCCAAATTTAATCCTGAATATATCATCTTATCCCACCTTATCCCATCAAACATGGTATTATTTTATCCCACCTCTCACCTGGGATAAATTAGTCTAAGGATTATAATCTCAGAATTATAATACCAGGATAATTTAGTCCACCTATCAAATGACCCCTTACTTCCATAGAAAGAAATTTTCAAATGTAAAGTTAAATTTTCAAATGTAAAGTTATGTACTAGGATAGAGAAAGAAAGCCAATTACAAAACGAAGGAAGAGCAGATTAATGAAAACATAAGAATTGAAACCAATACATTTGCAATAGCATTTTTCTATTCTGTTGAAAATAATTATTGTTGTATTTCTTATTGGTTAAGAAAATAAAACAATTGCATTTGGTCGTGAGAAAAAAAGGCTGTCTTTGATAAGTTTTTTTGAATGAGATGATTAAGGACCTATAAGTGGAGTTTCTTACTTTATTGAGTTAGCTAAATAGAATCAACAATCATTATTTATAGAAACTTACACGTTTGTTAATATTAATTTTAAACTCAAACAAAAAATTTAATATAATATTTTTTAACTTTTCAAAGTTTTATATTTATTGAGATAAAATACACGCGCAACGCGCGTACCTTAAGACTAGTTATAAAGAAGTATAAAGCATGATTTTGATGATTCACATATTAGATCAAGTTTGGTCAAATCTCACATCACATTTTGGGTTGTTACTTAAATACGAAATGTAACATGTTTAACTGTAATGAAAGAATATTGTATAAGATACTTTTTTGTTGGTATAAGCTAATTCCTTCTTCGTTTTTTCTGGTTTACCATGATATGTAAAATATTTATTTAAGTATGAATTTGCAATATGTGTGCTGCTTCTCTGATTATTGCGTCTATTTAGAAGCATATCTATGATCCTTTCTAACTGATTCTACTTTCTTTTCTTTGTTTTGCATGACATCGGAGCCGAAGAGTTTCACTTTGAAACTCAACGACACCGTATACGGAGGCCGCACGTCACTCACCATTTCTATTCTTACATTGTCTAAGCGTCGGATTTCTGAACATGTCCATCCTTTATGAAAGCCAAAAAATGACTTTGATCGTATTAAGTTATTGTTGCTTATTCGTTGGTGTGATAAAGGTTTCCTTCGTGTGACCAACCTCATATTCCTGCTTGTGTTATTGACTGTTAAGACTGTAAATTACGCATTTAAGGTTTGCTTTAGCTAATAGGTATTTACTCTTACACATGGGATACAACATTTTTAGATATAGGAAACTTGAAACTGGTACGTAATTGCCTTATATTTCTCTAACAATATTTGGATTAAAGAACAGTCAAGTTTTGCTTTACTCAAGTTACAGAAAAGCTTTACATTCCAAAATGGATCTATTTAACCAATACCATATCAGTTGGTTCTCAAACATGAAAGTGAAGGTTTCGGGTGTTAATCATTTTTTTTCTAAATGATCCTTGGTTTGTGTGTTCAAAGGTTAAAACTGAATTGCTTTCTATATTAGTCAACTTTCTTTTCTAAAAGATCTGATCTTTTTATCCAAACGAGTTTTAAGGTAATTCAAATTTGCGC